CCCAGCCCTGGAATCATCCATTTCTCCAAGGAGCCATCATTCCTTTCCTTGATGCACTCTTTGTACTAAAAGGTTCTAGGAGTTTTAACGAAGGCGTAACGTTGTGGGTCCACCACTACAGTACAGTACCGGACAGTTTCACTGCCCTGAAGATGCTTTGTGCTTTACCTATCCAACCATACCCCTTCCCAAACCCAGGCAACCACTAATGCGTTCTCCTTGCAGGTGTCTCTTGTTGGAATCCTACAGTGTGTCAGCCTTTTCAAACTGGCTTCAGTCACCCGAGTACTCACCTACAAGTCACCCATGTCTTTCCATCACTCAGTAGCTCATTCATCTTCATTGCTGAACAGCATCCCATCACACGGATGTACCACCTTTTGTCTATCCACTCGCCCACTGAAGGCCATCGTGGCTTGTTCCAGTATTTGATGTGAAAGTGCTGCAGGAAACATTCACATGCAGGTTTTCTCTGTAGACATACATTTTCAAATAATTTGAGTAAACATTTAGAAGCGTATTGTAAGGCTATGTTAAGCTTTATGAGAAACTGCAACTGTTTTCTAAAGTAGCTGCACTGTTTTGAACTTCTACCAGTCGTGGGTAAGTTACTGTTGTCCCTCATTTTCATCAACAGGTGGTATTGTCAGGGTTTTTCCTTCTGTTTTTAGCCATTATCCCAGGTGCGTTATGGTATCTCATTGTTTTTATTTGCAGTTTCCTAATGAGCATCTCTTCATGTGCTCGTTTGCCATATGTATGTCTTCTACTGTGAGGTATTTATTCAGATCATTTGCCCATTTTACAGTTGAGCTTTTTGTTTCCTTATTGCTGAATTTTAAAGTCTTGTGTATATTCCATGTACAAGTTCTATATTTGATATGTGATTTGCAAATATGTTCTCTCAGTCTGTGACATGTCTTTTCATTCTTTTGACAATGACTTCCACAGAGCAAAAGGTTTTCTTTAATGAAGACCATTTATCGCTTTTTTTCATAGGTTGTTCTTTGGTGTTGTACCTAAAACACCAAACCCAAGGTTCTACAGATTCTCCTGTATGTTTTCTTCTAGAGTTTTTATATTTTTCTTTTTTATTTCTATCTTTGATGTTTCAAGGTGATCTTTGTTTGTAAGCTATGAGTGAGGCCTGTGTTTTTGTTCATGTCATTTGCGTACGGACCTCCAAATGCTCCTGGCCCGTTTGTTGAAGGGACTTCCGTCTTCATTGTGTGCCTTTGCACCTTTGCCAGAAGCAGGTGCCTCCGTCTGTGCGGGTCTCTTTCTGGGCCCGTATTCTGCTCCGTTCATCCATGTCTCTTTTGCCAGTACCACATTGTTGGATTCTGGTACTTTTATAACAAGTCATGAAATTGGGCAGTGTGTGTCCTCCAACTTCATTCTCTTTCAGATGACAAAGGACCTAGAAAAAAAATATTGCAGGCCCTTGAAACTTTTTGTTGAAGGTTCAAAGGCAAAAATTGTAAAAGTAACTATAACTACAATAATGTGTTAACAAAGGTAAAATGGAGTAAATTGTGACATCCAAAAGCATAAGATGTGGGCAGAGAGTAAAAATATAGAGCTTTAGTATATGTTTGAACTTAAGTTATCAGGAATTTTGTTTTAAATAGATTCTTTGGGGTTGTTAAATAGACTATCATGCCATCCACTAGAGAAAGTTTAATTTCTTCTTTTTGCCTTATTGTACCAGCTATGACTCTGGTATGAAGTTGAATAGTTTTGGTAAGAGAGAAAACTCTTACTTTGTTCCTGATATTAGTAGGAAAATGTTCAGTCTCTCATAACTCAGTATTCTGTTAGCAATAGGGGCTTTTTCTTTAAAATAACCTTTTGTTAGGTTATGAGTATTCCTTTCTGTTCCTAGTATTTTTAAGAGTTTTGTTATGAATCAGTGTTTGATTTTGTCAAATGATCTTTCTGAATATACTGATGTCATTATATTGTTTTTCTTATTTAGTTTGCTAGTAGGATAAATTTTGTTTATTACGTTTTGAATGTTGAACCAGCCTTGCATTCCTGGAATGAACTCAGCTTGGTCATTGTTCCTTGTTTTGCTATGCTTGGTTAGATCAGCTTGCATTTTGTTAAATATTTGTCTCTATCTTCATTAGAAATTGTTCTGTGGTTTTGTTTTCTTATAGTAGTTTTGTTTGATGTTGGTATTAGGGTAATGTTTGCCTTCATAAAATGAGTTTGGAGGTGTTCCGTCTTCTGTCTTCTAGGAAAAGATTGTATAGAATTGTATGTGAATCTTTGATACAATACAACTGACAGCATCTGGGTCAACTCTTTTGTTTTGGGGGAAGATATTTAATAGCTACTTTAATGTCTTTAATATATATAAAACAATTTAGATGATCTGTTTCTGCTTGAGTGAATTTTGTTCATTTGCATCATCAGGTACTATGTCCATTTCATCTCAGTTATCAGATGTATGTTCATAAAGTTGTTTGCAGTGTTCCCTTAGGATCCTTTTACTCTCAATAGGCTCATAGTGACCGCTTCCTTGTTCCCTGTGGATACGGTAAAGCGCTCTGTTCTATCTTTTTCTTGCTCAGCCTGGCTACAGGTTAATCATCATTATTCATCTTTTCAAAGAGCCAGCATGTGGGTTCATCGATTTTCTCTATTCATTTTCCATATTCAGTTTCATTGATTTCTGCTCTAAATTTTCTTTTCTTTCTTCTGCTTTCTTTAGGTTTGATCTACTCGTCCTTCTCTAGTTTCATAAGGTGAAAGTTGAGGTTAATATTTGTTGCCTTATTTTCTAATACGTATTATTAGTATCAATTATTAACTGCATTCCAAAATGTTTGAGGGTACAGTTTCATTGTCATTTAGTTCAAAATACTTTTTAAACTTTCTTTGTGAGTTTTTCTTTGCTCCATGTGTTATTTAGAAGTGTGTTAATTTCCAAAATGATGGGGATATTTCTTGATTTCTAGTTTAATTCTGCTGTGGTCTAAGAACATATTCTGTATGAATTTTATTGTTTTAAATTTAGTAAGGAACATCTTATGGAACAGAATGTGTTCTGTCTTAGTGCCTGTTCCACATGAGCTCAGGAAGAATGCCTATTCTGCTATTGTGGAAGAAGGGTTTTGTAAATATTAATTAGACCAAGTTGGCTGATAGTGTCATTTTCCATAATCTGACTGGCTTTCTGCTTTCTGATCTTTCAATTACTGACAGAAGGATGGTGAGGCCTTCCACTGTAACGACGTACCTTCCATATGGAATCCACTGTGGCGCTGGAGACATCTTGTTACTGTGAGTGGGTGGGGAGCAGAGGGGCCCTTCCACCACTTGCTTACTACATCCCAGCCTCTCAGGGGCCGGGGTCTATGAGGACGAGGATCACCCAGTGCTTCTGTCTCTCCTCCAGGAGTGTAGTTCTCTTTACCCCCCATTCTCCTGCTCTGCGCTCAGGGCATTCCCACTCTGTTTCCTCGAAGTCCAGTACCCTGCTGGAAATTTTTGTGTCCTAAGTGGTAGAGTTTTTGGGCTAAAGCCCATGTGAGTGTGAGGCTGCCCTACAACTGCTGCCCCCAAGAATTTCTGAGCTCACGCTAGTCTGAACACAATCTCTATATATTTGTCAAAACAGTCATTCAGGTGTCCTTACCCACTGTGGGTTCCAGTGGCTTCTGCCCCTGAGGAGCAAACCTTGGAAGCTGTATCTCTCTGGATGCATCTGTCTCTCTAGATTTCAGGATGGTAGTTTATCTTGGAACTACAGTACTTAGATTTGATCAAGAAACGTCACTAATTTTCAGTCAATTTAGCTTTTTTCTTGTTGTAAGGTTAGGAATGACGACTTCAAGCTCTTTATATGCTGGAGTTCAGCTGAAAGGCCTGGTCTATGCTTTTTATTGACTAAGTTGCCTTGGACTTATTATTTGGACTTGGCATCAGTTTCATCATCTCTTTAAAAATCTAAGGTTGGGTTATGCTCTGTAAATCTCCTTTGAGCAAACACAGCAGGACGCCAAAGGATTAATGAACAGGGAACACAGGTATTTTAGAACTCCTGAAGATTTAACTTAACAGCAGTAAGCTACTATCAGTATTAAAATGTCAGTAAGTCCTGAACATTTTCTTTTACATACTTTACCTACTGGAGGCCTGAAATCTACCGACCAGATAATTCTTATTCTAATTAGAGGTTAGAAGCTCACCGCAATCATCAGAATTTACCAAGCACCCGTGAATCCCCCCTTTTCTCCTCACCTTCCCACTCTATACAGTACCATTATGCTACCCTCATGATGAAAATGATTGAAGTTACTGAAGAAAAACAAAACAAAAAACCAAACCGATTCTTACCTCGCTTGTTCGTATGGCAGAAGGGTTCAGGGTCATGTGGGATCACCTAAGATCACCCCTTGTCCTCACAGGTTTCTGGGACTGGAGATGAATGTCTCCAGGACAGTGGAACAGAACCAAATGACACTGTGAGCAGAATGAAACACACTGGTCTCCCTGACTGTTTGATTCAATACTATACCACTGAGTCTTTAGGCACTGGGGCTCAGAAAAGTTTGAGGTGATGATGGGCTGGTCACAATTACACTTTTTACTTGGCCACCTCCAGCTAACAATGACTCCCTCTACCCCATCATCAGATTCCACTAGAATTTGGGGTATCTTGTGTTTAGTCTCTGGGACCAAATCATTTAATGCCATTTAATGGTCTCTTCAAACTAAACATGGCTCAAAGGTAGTGCATCTTTTGTTCTGGAGATAATTCTATTTTGCCTGGCTAAAAACCTGAGAATTATCTTTAGTTTTGTATTCGTCTCCATCCTTTATATTAGTCTATCACAAAGCCTTGTTATGTCTTCTGTTCAAGTATCTCTGAGTCACTCTTGCTTCTCTGTTCAGACTTAGGAGCCAAGTACAGTGAAAAAAATTATATTAATCTCTCTTCTTCCAATATGCAATGATACTAAACTATAAAGCACAAAAATTATGGGGTAACATAAAAACAGGTTTATTTAGATTGCAAAGACTGTGATAAGTTCATCAAAGCTGTAATTCACCTTCTGGTTTTTAATTTTTTTGTGAACCCTGCATCGCTGGTGCCCCAAACTTAAGTTTTGCCTCTTTGGGGCACATAACAAGAATTTATTAGGAGTTCACAGTTCACAGATGACAAAAGAGCCAGGTAGTCGGGGACACAGGGAATGGTGAAGGTATTTGCCGTGGGATCAGCTCAGTACAGACGAGATGCAGCGATCTTCCCACTCTCTCTCCTTCTAAGTCCCAGGCTGTAAGAACCTCTTTGTGTTGTTGTTGAAAGATATATTCTATAAGAATATGCAAAGAGATATATGAGTCTAAATGGATTGACAAATTACTGTTTATTTCTGGGTTTCAGATGTTATTACTCTATATTTCTTCCTAGAAGTTTCAGAATGATGGCAGAGCCGAGCCAAAATGACCTACTTTTTTAGGAGAAATCATTAGCACATTACAAAGTCTCATTTTTAAACATTCTATGGCATTTTTCCACATTAACCTTATTTTCCATAATGGATTTGTGTTTTATTAAATTGTGAAAATGGCACTTTCTATAATAAGAGATTGGTTAATTCGCCATTTCAGTGAAATGGCTAATTGGGATGATTTTCATATTGAATTAGCATTATTACACCATAGATTTTAAAACACATAACTGACTCTCATTATGCTTCCGTGATTGCTTGTTTGTTCTTTAACTGTTTCTGCAGCAAAGTGGACTGTCTCAAGGTCTGATAACTGTAACCGCCCAGAAATGTTGGCATTGTTTCTTTATCACTTTGCTCTCTGGTTTCAAGAACAAATTTAGATGTTTCTATTCTTGGTTCTGATGTTTGGAACACTTACATCCTTCTTATTTGTTGAATTCTGTGAAAAATATTTTTTTGTTCTCCCAGTTTGAGAGATTTAAAGCCAACTGCTTCATCTATTACTTTAAGCTTTTCCTGAAGATTAAAAATAATAATCATGCAGAAACTAGTAAAACTGAAACATATGAACACTGCTTTATAATTACAGATACATGTATATGTACGTATATAATATGTATATGTTGCTCTCTATTAAGATATACACTAATATAAATGCTATATCCTTAGTAGATAATACATTTTTGCTTTTTTCAAAAAAGGAGTAAACGTAAAGTAATAGACATTAAATAAGAAAAACTGTCAATATTGAAAAGAAGAATGAAGAAAATGGAAATCATACAGTTTTACCAACTTAGTATAGCAACTGAGGCAGTTCTTGTGTATTTTCGGGAATTTTCCAGGCCTAGGGTGTCAATATAGTTATAATTATAATTTTTCAAGGTACATCACCCTCTTTTATTTAGTATTAAATCAAAGGCTTCTTCTGTGTTTTTGTTTTCTTTTAAATCTTAGATTCTCAGCAGCCCAGTGCAAGGTCATTCCCGCTTATTGGTAGGGTCACTTAAGAAGTGATTGCATGTCTACGAGTGTGGGCAACACTTGCCAAGTTACATCTGAGTGTGTCCTAATTAAGTGCTTGGAAGTGGTCTCTTGTACATTTAAAATAACAGATTTGTGTAAATGAGAGTGGAGGGTAAAAGAAAGATTAATTGCACCAGGCCAGGCTCATGTAATGACTGAGGCAGATAATTGTACCCGTTGTAGTGTTATTGGGTGTGGGAAGTGGTCCTCATATCATTGACCTGTGATGTTAACAGAAAATGATTATAATTATGTTCCTGGTGTTATAAAATTATAAATTTCATACAAATGGTTATTGTTGCTTTCTATAATATGTTACTAGGGATAATATGTTTTCCTAATGACTATGATATAGGGTGAGTTGAGTAGACTATGTCAGTATATTCTCAGGTTTCACAGAACCATGTTTTATGAATTTGAATTAACTTCTACCAAAATCACGTAATACTTACTAGTTGTGGTGGACACTGTGAGATCAAACTTTTTGTCAGTTTCAAACAGTTTACATGGATTGTTGCTATCATGTATACTTTTGGTTCTTATATGAGGAATGATTTAAAAAAACTGTAATATGAATAAATAAGTTTATACTCAAATTCATATGTTAGAAGGAATGATTGAGTCAATTAAAAGAATACTTTGTCTCACAATTGTTTGCTCTTTTTCATAAGATTTCATTGATCAGAATAACTTTAAAAAAGGTACAGTAGACATTTATGGGATGGCAGGAGATGTCCAACTAAAGATGCAGGTAGGGGAATAAAAGAATGTGTTATTATTCATAAATGTTATTAGAATTATTACAGGAATATGTTATTAGTCATAAATCAGAAAAAAGTATTTGGTACGCCTAATGTCTGCCCCGAATTCTTGGGGCACTATCATTCCTGAAGTGAAAGTCACATCCTTCTCACTTCGTAAGAAATTTTTATTGATGACTTAAAATTTTGTCTCAGTGGACAGAAGACCACTGAGATATTAAGATGACTTAAAATGAAATGCATTTTTGTTCTGGTTAATTTTTAAATAATATTGCTGAGATAGATTTATGTAAGGAAAGTGTATCTTGTTTGGACATGTAAGTATTGACTCACTAAACAGGTACCATGTAGTGGTACCACATACCACTAAACATGTACATGTACATGATACCATGAGGTATCATGATGATTCTAAAGCATTCTGGTATAATTTTGCTTTGGAAGCTTAGTTTAGGTATTCTGGGTCCTTAGTTTAATAAGTGCTCAATATCTCTAAGTTGAGCTTGATTGACTTCATTATATTTCTCTCACAAATATCTTATGCAGGTCTGAGGCAAAGCCTTGAACGCCTCACAGGTTTGCCTTTGCAGATAGGGTTCTCGTAGATGGTCTTCAATGATGTTCTTGAATGCACTCAGTCCTGTATATTACGTGATAAATTTTATCTTCTCAACCATGGGGAATAAAATGTTGTTATAATATAGTGATTCTTGTTTAATATCTAAATCAGTCTCCTTTTCAGAAACTTGAAAATTAAGACTGACTTAATTTGGGGAGTACTAAGAATTTTTCCAAAGTAGTTATGTAAAGTTGACCCTTGAACAATACGGGGACTGGGGCCCTAACTCCCTGCACAGTAGAAAATCCACACAAAACTTTTGGCCCCCAAAACTTAGCTGCTAACAGCTCACTGTTGATGCAAAGCCTTACCATTCACATTAACAGTCAGTTAACATATTTTGTATGTCATTGTGTTATATACCATATTCTTACAGTAAGGTAAGCTGGAGAAAATACTTCTAAGAAACTCAAAAGAAAAGGATACACGTTTATAGCACTGCACCGTATTTATCGAGACTGTAAGTTTGTCATCTGTTTATAAGTCATTTGTCAGTACCTACATCAATGTTGTCTTATATAATATGAAACACTATAAACGCAAGTCATATGTATTACAAATGCTAGATCTCAAGATTGAAAAGATAACATGAAGAAAATCATATTTATTTGCAGGTATGGTTCATTCTTTGACAGAGAAGCAGCAATGTGGCTAATTTATGGCAGCCTGGTGTGATCAACACGATTGCTTCATGCTAGCCCAGCCTACACAGTAATGAATTAACTTGTATAAAACATACAGTATTACAGTCATATGCATAATACTGAATTATAAACATTGTTACATTAAAAAAAACGCTTGTGATAATGGCCCGATGTGCAGTTTCTCCAATCATGGGAAGGAGAGGCATACTGTATGGTGATGTGATTATTTGAAAGCAAGGTTATAAAACAGTAAGAAAACTGACACATTCTTAATTTTATATTAAATTCTGCTCAGCTTACACCTATGTAAGGATAGGCTACCTACCCCCATACAAGCCTTGGGCTTGAAGTCCTGCACAAGCAGCTCTTAGGCAGTGATGATGACACAAAAACATCTCCTAAGGTTCTTCTGCACAGTTGCTAGATTTTCAGGTGAAGCCACTCTCACGTATGCACAGTGTCACATGGTGTGTGACCTGCATACTCCCCATGCTTCAGCTCCCTGCAATAGCAACAGGAGGCGGCTACAAAATTATTAGAGTACAGTACGTGCTACAGTTATCTTTATGCAGCTATGATTGATTAGTGCATTTTTTTCAGTTTTATGATGCTATTTTTAAATTTATTTTTATTAAATAGATTTGTGTATATTTTAGGGTAGTACATGACATAATAGACTACTAGCGACATATATTTTATGCATTCATGACATACCTTTTCTATATTTTTTTTGATATTTCTAGGCTGCTTGGCTCATCTGTGAGTTTTTCAAAATGTTGCAAATCTCCAAAAATTTTCCACTATATTTATTGAAAAAAATTCACATATAAGTGATAAGTGGACCCACGCAGTTCAAACATGTGTTTTTCAAGGGTCAATGTGTATATGTATACATATTTGTACATGTGTATGTATATGTATGTGTATGTAAATGTACATTATTTTCTTAATTTGTTTATAAAAGCAATGTAATGCCAATTATATATATACTTATAAAGCTTTAATCTTAAATATTTCCTTTCTCAGTATTTCCCACCCTTTCACATGAAATCAGTATGTTTGTTTTTCTCAGCAAATCTACCTCCGGAAAGGGCTCAGTTGCTTGCTTTCTAGCTCTGACCAAAACTCATGAGTGTCTGATTCTAGAATCTGGACTAGTTGCAACTATATTGCATCAGATGCTGGCTTATGTTGATCCCCCAGGCTTAGCACAAACATAAAGTAGTTTGTGGCTATTTCCTTTGAGGTTTGTGGCTATAATGTTAAAAAATATTGACCTCATATTTTTGAATTATTATTTAAAATTCTTAATTTATTGCTTTGGAAAAATAATTTTTAAGTGAAAAATGTATCTGTGGCTAACCTTTATATTGTCACAAAATGTTCTGTAAAGTCTGTTTCTTTAAGATTACAGTGTAAGCTTCAGAATGGCTTGCAGTTTTACACTTTTGCAGCTTAGGACATAGTTGCAAATTTTCCAGGAAAAATGTATTAAGGGAAATCAAGCTACTTTTTGTACTAGCTTCCTACGAGCCAGCATTTTGAAAGGAAATGAATGTGTATAATTCATTAGGCTATGTTTTTTCAACCTGGGTAAATTTGATCAAATCGTGGCCACATTTCCTTTATAAGAAAAGCAGTTTAAAAATGTGGAATCTCTGCTTCCATATGAAAAGATCTAGTTGCTCGTGGATTTGCCTGTACTGATGGAAAGGAAAGACTGACTTTTCATCTAAGTTCCATATTCCTGTGGTGCCTAACAGTGTAGTTCTCAGTATTCGTTCTGCCACCATCCGTTTGTGTTTCCACCGATCTTCTGCTCTAAGAAAGCCATCTGAACGCCTGCGTCAGTCTCACTTGTGCCAGACGGTGTGAGCCATCCTGCCACCAGCGCGGCGGTCACCCAGACGGTTTCCCAGCTGCCTCACTGCAGGGGGTTCCGTGTTCGGGTTTGCAAGGAAGTAAAGTGATAGGGTCTCTGCCTCTTGGAGTTTATAATCATAGAAAAATTTGGTGATGCCAGCCTTATAGACCTCTATCAGTGATGCTCACTGTGGTATGTTTCCTGAGCCCCTTGCCTTGAACCGGAGGAGCAGGTTGGTAGCAGCATGTGCACGTGCACATAGCCCTGTGTCCGTGTCTTCATGAGACCGAACATTTTATCAGGTCACAGACCTGGTCTGGTGATGGGCTTGTGAAGAACGCATTCACAGTTTTCCAATTCGAATCTAACTTCTAAATGCAATGCTTTGCCCAGCACATGCTCCTGACCAGAGAGAGGCTGGGGACGCAGAGACACGCCTCCCAGCGCCCCTTCTTGCTCCCGGCCCAGCCTGGCGTGAGCCCAACCCGGCTGCTTCTGCACGGAGGCACCGTCCCACCGCCCGGCAGCACCCAGGTGTGGGCCGCAGAGCAGTGGGGGCGCCTGCAGCCCGGGACCAGACACAGAAAACCCAGGTGGTCTGAGGGGACCCGGGAGGATTTCTGCCCCGCACCTCCACGTCTTCCCAAACACAGCCCCTCAGACTGCACATTATTAATAGCCGTCATTTTTCTTTTTCTTTGTGAACAAACACCCCCATACAGTTGGCGCTCGCAGGCCCTGGAGCGAGTCCCGCCTATCTCCGTACATTAAATGACCTCACTGCGGCGCTGAGCCCGGCCCTGTCTCTCCCTTTCCCCATGGCAGGTGGATTTATCATTTTCCCCACTCTGACCTTCCCAGCTCCAGCTGCCAGGCCAGGCCCCGCGCCTTTCTCTCTGTAGATTAGTTTGTATCCTACAGGATTAAAAAGGTTTAGGGAGCAACTGGGAGTTGGCAGGAAGAGGCCGAGTTGTTAAGAAATGTCAGAGAAGTGTCAGGACTGCCAGGAGTCGGGGAGGGACAGAAGCACTTTTCAATCAGAGCCTAGCAGACAAAACACCACGAGAGAGAGGCAGCCAGAGGCCCGAAGATAACGAGAAATGCTTGCGTTCTGAGCAGGCAAGGAAAACAGGGGAGGACGGGGGAAGGGAGAAACGACTGCTTCGCCACCAGGCAATTCAAAGTCAACAGGTCGGACGGCCCAGCATGTCACACTCCAGTGTCACAGTCCAGCGACAGTCGGCCTGTGGACGTCAGCTACGGAGGAGAGGCAGAGCGCGGGGCGGGGGTTCTGGGGATACACGTGTGACTGGTGCATTGAGCTGCATCTTGCTTTTCCCGTTGCATTTTCTGCTGGTATTCAGATTTCTTTGACTATTTGTGGAGGAGGGAGCTGTCGTCTTTGATGCGTTTCCTGAGCGAAAGGAGACACTTCCCAGGGCTCAGAAAGAAGCCTCGATCTCCCAAATATTCTGTGCAGGTGGCAAAGGAAACACGTGAGTGACAAGTCATAGCGCTGTGTCTATCACATGCACAACCACAACTGCTGAGCAGAAAGAGGAGCAGTTGCCCCTGAAACCTCCAAAGCCTGGACGGCATGAAAAGGAGGTCAGGGGTTTACTGCACTGTGCGCGTGGATAGATGGGCCATGCCATCCTGCCTGGACTTTGTGCCTTCACCGGGGAGGTGCCCTGAGCACCTGGGAAAGCCTGTGACCCAGTGCATCGGGGAAGACGACGGAGACCTGAGAAACTTGGCGAGGAGTTGCCTTGGCTTCGGCTGAAGCTGAAGGGAAACAGATCCCTTGGCGGACCTCCACTAAGTGATTTGCCCCGAGCCAAGTGCCAGCTTATCTCGCCCTCTGGGACCTTCTGAGAGAGAAAAGGAGGAGGAGCAGATAAGTGCAAAGCGTTTGGCTTTTTCTTCCTGGCATGAAGCATGGGAACAGTCTTAAATTAGGAATCAGAAAGCCAATCGACCGCTTGGGCTTTCTTCATTTGTAATGTGGGTGTGTCGGCCCACGTGACCTGAAGCCTCCTTCTTAAATGAAGCTCTGTAATTTATTTACTAAACTCACCCCCCTGGCCTGAACCGCTGGACTAGGCTGGAGAGCTCAGACCTGGCCCAGCTGTTCTCTGCACACGTGTAATGTTTAAAGGTGTCATGAAGGGAGAGGTAAAATCATCTTCTGTGCTGCTATTGATCCTCTGCCCGATGTTGGGATCCAAGGGCCCATGCCAGGGGCACCTGACACGTGAGCCTATTAAAGGAAATGTCCTTTTGGTCAAAGTGTGGTTTTCAAGCACAGCAAAATTCATTAATCAAATCTAACAGAGGGCAGATCCCACGATCTGTGGGCACGTGTGTTACCCGAGGGGATGAACCGGGCTTTGTCCTCGTAGGATCGAGTCCTGTGCCCATCAAGTTCTTCACTTCCTTGCACGATGCAGTCTCACCACCAGGGTCTCTCTGTCCTCCTCTCTGCAGGTCCCTCTCCTTGGTCTGTGTTCATGCCCACATCTCCCCTGGCTGCACCTTCACCCCGATAGCTCTGCTTGGATCTCTGCCTGTTATTCTGCTCGGTTCATTTGTGCATCAGCCTGTTAGGGGTGTACACAGGCCAGGCAGCCAAGGCCTGGGCTTCACGCAGTCAACCTCCAGGGTGCTTTGGGGTGGGGGCTTCAGGGGACAGTGGTCAATGACAAACATGTACTTAAACATGCTTTACCATAATAGCAAGTTAAAGACAAGAAAACCGGTGATATAAGGGAGAGTCAAAGCAGGGGAATACACGAAATTCTGAGTAAAGGCAGTCTGTGTGCTTGGCATTTGAACTGAATGTGGATTGCTGGGAGGAGGCTCCATCGCAGAGACCCCTGCAGAGCGCTGAAGTCAGAGGGGCAGGAAGCGCCGGAGCAAGGAGGCCAGCAGGGTCCTGGCCGAGAAGAGAAAGGGGGCCAGGCTGGCCATCAGGGAGCACGATGCGGGGTCGGCGGGGCTGTGTCAGGAGGGCCTGAGGGCCTGGTGAGCTATGCAGAACTGGGGGCTGCTTTTGGGTGATTGTAAGAGGTGGCGCAACCTGACTTACAATTATGATTTCAACCACCCTTCTTGTTGTGTGCTGAGCTGGTTGTAGAGATGCAGGAGGGCCGGTTAGGAGGCTCCTGAAGTTCAGGTGAGATGTGACCGTGGCCTGGGCCTAACGGTGGCCCGGGGCTGCACAGAGGGAGACACTCGGGCATAATTTTGAGATATTCAGTTTTGGAGATAGCACCCGTGGAATGGCAGAGGCGAGTGTGAGGACGACCCGCAGGGCTCTGCTTGAGCTGCTGAGTGGGGTGACCCCACCCTGTCTCAGAAGGGCTGAGAGCGCCGGGGGGCAAGGTGTGAGTGCTGGCAAGGGGTTGCTGGGGCCATCCGTGCCCTGGACCCATGTCAGTGAATGTGGACCACACTGGGGTTTAAATGAAATATGTGTGATTCCTCCTGGGGTAGGAGGGAGCACCTTACCTTTTCTGCTTCCATGTGGCAAGATTCCAGTTAGACTGACACTGTCGGCTTCTCTCTGCCCCCCGTTAGACATCCCCTGGGAGAAGAACGGAATTATTCGATTAGTAACCTATGAATAGGAACTAGGAATGCTCGGTTCTGTCCTTCCCACCCTGTTTCCTCCTTAAGATTTGCCTTCACTAGGTTCTACCACCTTTTGGTTCCACTGTTACCTTCAATCAATGAGCCATCCTTTTCTATCTGTTTTAGCCCTTGTATCTCCTTTTTCTTGTTATTCTCCAGGTACAGATTCTCATGACTTATCACTTAAAACCTTGACTGCCAACCTACAGTTTCTCCCCATGTATATAATGTTAAGTGAACATTTTGTATCAGTACCTTTCTATGATTTGGCTGAAAAAGAGATGTCAAACTTCCTTAGACCATTTACAATCTGACCCCAGTTAACTCTTTTCCAATTCCTGTTTTTCCACACTGCTTTATACTCTCTGATCTCTATGGCTCATTCATGCTGTTCTCTCAGAGCTTCTGACGTTTCTGCAAGGCTCAATTCTTTCCATCCTGTGAGATCCAGTATTAATGACACTAGTGAAATCAAATATTTTCCTTTGATATCCCTAGATAGAGAGAATTTCTCTCTGTAAGCATTTTATTAGAATCTGGTCTACATCCCAATAAGCACACTGACAGTTTAATAGAAATTTTGTGCCTAAACACATCTCCCACTGACCTACAACTCTGCACTTAAGGTGCTCCTGCCGTGGTGTTTTGTACGAGTGGATTTTCAAATAGTAACTGCCAGATGAAAAAACAAATTGGTCTAAAGGACTCTGTGCTATTCTGAATCCTGATGGACACCATGGAGGTACCAGCCACGTCACGGAGAACACAAGTCGTTAGTGAGGGAGAAGCAGAAATGAGGCCAAGGTCGCCCCTGCTCTGTGCAAGGCACCTGTTTCTTTTCTTCTCTGGAACTTCCAGAAAAGTCTCATGGGACCTCCACAAGCACATTTTCAGTTGTCCTTTGTGGGTTAAAGTTACAGATTCTTGACTTACTCCCGCCATCCTCAGACCTGCTCATTTCCTGGCCCTTGGCTGAGGGAAATCAGTAACGGTGACCCTTCACGTGTGGGTTGTTCTGTTATTTGATAAATATGGAGCTTTCTGATATTTATGCAAAACCCCTGATTCCCTCTGGGCAGCACTGAGTGTTACCTGCATCAGGAGGAGGCTTTTTCTTTTACATCATGACGTTTCTTCAGCACAGAGATCAATACAAGCAATAGTTCTGAAATCATCCACAGGAAGGACATGGACATTCTCTGCTCCTAGACAATTAAAAATGGCACTTTTTAAAGAAGCTTCCAAAGGGCAGAGACCAGGTGGCCTGCCGTCCTATCGTATTATTGCTATACACTTTGAGTTATAGAATACCTCCCAATGCAACAATAATTTTTAAAGCAGGATGCATATTTTAAATTCACTCTAGTACAGATAAAGCAGCTGAAGCTCAGAAGGATTAAAGCGGCCCCAGGTCACAGTGTGACCGTACACGAGAACCCAAATCACTGTGCGAGTCTCACACAAAAGCTCTGTTGCTGAGGTTGTACAGCAGACTACAAACGTGGCTAAGGTCATCAGACCCGGGGGAAAGTGTGGGGTTACACACACAACACAGACACAGAGATTGGTGGTGCATAAAAGGGCAATATTCCTCTAGCCTTTCAGTTTTGCTATATTTAATAGTTATGTTAATTTCTGTTTCTTGATGAAACCCTAAAACAGAGGCAGCAGCTAAAAGAAATCAAATACTGCCTATCTTACAGTTTCCCATTTTTTTTTTTTATATAGAAGCTTGGATTTAACTAGATCTAGTGAATGCTATATACAATAAAAAAAAAATTCTGCGATATCTTGTTATCCCACCCATTTCTTCTTTCATATTTGTTTTTGTCTATGTCAAAAACACTTATAAAAACCAAATTTGGGGTGAGGGTGGGGCTGATTTCCAGGGGAAGACAATTTGGGACTGAAGATTTTCCACTTCCTGCAAAATCAGTATTGGGGCCACGGCAGTGGCACTGTCTGGGACGCGGGCATGGTGGGGGTACGGCTGGCCTCTGCGGGTTGGTCCCCAGGGACCCAGGTGGCTGCCCGCGGGCACCCTGGTCCTTCTGCTGCAGCCCCCCGGAGGGTCTCCCTGCTGCTCCCGGAGCCATCCCAGACTGTCACTGCATCAGGTACCAGGTCCAGGCAATGACACAGATCGACAGTTTGCATTTGCTTTCCAGCACTTCTGTAATGAAGTCCTGCAAAATGGGCAGCTGATGGAACACAGATTTATTGTCTCACACTTCTGGAGGCCAGACGTCCAAGATCCAGGTGTCTGCAGGGCTGGTTCCTGCTGAGGGCTGTGAGGCGGGGTCTGCCCTCGCCCCTCTCCTTTCCCAGTGGAGAGCCGCCTTCTCCCTGGGTCTGTGCCTCGGCTGGTGACTGCCTTGTTCTCTGCTCCTCAGGGCTTATTTCAATGCTATTACACAAATGCTTTACCCCTTCAACTTCTGTGAGAGCTGGCGTAGCCTCCTGTTTTCTTCAGTCCTTCCTCTTCCAACCTAGAAGCATGCCCTGCAGGTAGAGGGGCTCTCAGGAGCACACATGAGACCCTTAGGGAGGGGTCTTGGAAGTCAGAAATGGAATCCCTTTGGATATTACACTTCCTTGATTTTGAACTGGGCATCCTAACATTTGAAAGCCTCTTATCAGTTAAGAGTTCATCAGTATTACTTGCATAATATATAAATATAAATACTATATATATATATATATATCCACATACACATTCAAAGGTAAGCTTCCCAAGAATATATGAGTTAGTAACAAGGATCAGGGCTCCAGTCTGATTTCTTTCAATTCACAACCTCATCTTTAATTCTGATTTACTTTCCGTCAGAGCATTGATTTACCTATTTTTAGTCTTTTCTCACTCTGTTCTTCATAAGCTCTTTGTTGGCCTTCTTAAAGTTATTGCTACTGAATTAGATTTTAATGGAGTTAATATATCAGTACGTTATTTAGGGTTTTAGTCTGTGATTAATCCTAGAAAAGCAGGGTGAGTGCCTTGCCAGAGGGTTGTGTTTTCTACAGGTTGTAACATTATTCATGTCAGATGGAAAGTAATGAGTACAGAGAGGCAGGAAACACGGAGTAAAGGGAAAAAGGGGAACCTGCAGCTCCCAAGAACAAGGGCCCAGATTTTTTCAGGGAAGCACAATTTTCCACATAAGGGTCTTTGATGAAGCAAGTAAATTTCAATTTGTGGTGACTGGGATTAAGATGTAATGTATTTCTGATCTGCTTAAGGATGAATTAACAGAGTTACTTTTATATTTGATTACATATTATGTGGCATCTAAACAAGGGGTGAGGTTTTATGGACCCAAGACTTACAGTTCTATTTGAGCTTCTGTCTTGTGCTGGGTGACAAGGAGCTTAGTCTTTATGTCATTCCTCTGATAATATTCAGAACCAGTTATGTCTGATCCCCAATTTTTATGCATGTTATCAAATATGCATTCATTTCATGCCACGATACCTACTTTCACCAGGTTACCCACACCCTTCTTTTATTGCTTTCCTGGTGCAAAGGCAAAGAGAAAACTGCAGGAATTTTACCTGAATTCTCCTCTTGAATACAGATAGCTAAAAAAACATGGGATGGTCCTATAGACAATCCTGCTGAGATTTTCTCTCCAACTGGTGCTGAGAACCTAGAGATTCTGCTGTGTGGGCTGTGGCGGGAGCCTGTCTTCCACAGGCATTGTGTCCAGGAGCAGGCAGTGTGCTTCCTCCTTGGGTGCATCTGGGCCCAGTACTGGGGGCGAGTGCTTGTTACATTCAAGGTACCTGGGGCCACGGGGCACCGTTCAAACCAGCAGAATACCCTGTGGTTCTAGGTAACTCTGACGTAAGTAATGACCTAAATTCCTCCAAGCTTAGGTCTTCCACTTATAATCTCCAAAGTAGCTCTTGTTGTCCCTGAAGGTTTTTGCCTTTTCAGCTTTTGGAGTTGTAGGTTTCTGACCGAACTAGGCACCAAAGTCCTTAGCTTATAAGGCCAAACCACCTGCAGGTCGGGGTGGCGGATGTGTGCACGTTAGTGGGGAGACGGCAGTTACAATTACTGAAATAAGGAATTGAAGAATTTTCCTATGATGAGTAGAAGAAATGGGCTGGATTTCAAAGGCACCCACAAATACCTGGCTGAATTTGTAGCAGAGCTGGACAAAACTTTAAAAAGGGTGGGGAATTATGAAAGGTTATAGGACAGTTCTTCTCCACTCATCTTTCTGGCTTTTTATGTATATTCTTGTACCATGTGAAGCCAAAAAAAATACACATACACACATACACACACACACACACACATGAGAGAGAGAGCACCCAGTTTCCTTGTGATTAGGCTTACTTTCAGAATCCCACGAGCACGATATATCTGTCAGCAACAGATAAATTATGAGCTGCTTATAGATATGAATGACAAATATTATTTTCATTTCATATAATTAGAGGGCTTGAGAGGAATCTAGGATGCCATTAAAACTGCCTGCCTCACTGTGTGCACACATGGCCGTCCTCACAGAAAAGTGCGGACACAGAGAATCTGGGCTCATTTGAAAGGAAGTGGGCATTCCTGCCTTGAATAAGTCATTCCTGCTATTGAACCGCCTTTAGAGTTGGGACGTGCCCTCTCGTAAAGAACTTGCTTGACCACATGCTAATGCTTCTGTAGCAAAAGAATCCGTTACACGGAGAACACAGCAGCTAGTGGGCGTTTCTCCCAACAGTCCTCTCTTCCCTCCGACTGACCTCTGCAACTTCAAATGGGATTTTCTTGCTTGACTCCTTCCTGCTCCTCTGGGTTAACAGCACATCACACTAGATGGCAGTAATGCCCCAGCTTGGGAGTCCCTTTTACGCCTTCCCCACCCCCACCCGCAACCTTTTCTTGTCCAAAATAATATGGAATAAAACATGCAAATAAAATCAGCTCATTTTGCACAAGGTTCATTCAGAAAAGCTGATACACAATTAAAGCTGGTGAAGAAAAATATGTGTTAAATGATATTGAAAACTCAGGCATTGTGGGGTTTTCTTGGGGGAAGGGGGCTCCTCTGGTTTATTTCTTTGTTACTGTTTTTCAGATAGAGTTTAATTACGAAAGAGAACTTAGTGGGCCAAACATCTAAGCTTAAGTGAGAAAGTAAAGGTGAATTTCAGAGAGAGAAAGGCCCTCAGCCACGCCGGTTCTTACCTTTTTTCAGATCCCATGCTTCCTCCAGCAGATTGGCGTTCACGCAACGTTAACCTGGATTTTCTAGACAGAGATGATCAGACTCAAGCTCAGAGCCCAGTATGATTGCCCGTCACCACTGAGGCGACACAGCGACGTCCCCTTTGCATCATCTGGAGGTCTGTTGAAGATTTGCAAGGAGACCAATTCCCTTTCTGTAAAATGTTCCTGGTTGGGTAATCCAGATTCCCAGAATGCCCCACCAAGGTCTGAGAAAAAACATGCAAAAAAAAAAGTGTCCTCACACAGTTCACAGACATTGGCTTCACATGGGAAGCCATGAGTGCAGTGCTCCCGTCCTAAAGGACAGCACGTGATCACCTTCTAAAGGTTACCGCCGGGGAAACTGAAGCCTCGTAAGGAGCAGAGTGACTTCATGAGCAAATACGAAGCCTGCTCTTCAGCCTGCACGTGAAAATGCCTCATGCATTATTTATGGCACTGCTTCACCACAGAGATCAAGGTCACTCAGCAGCCTCTCCAGCAATGGGTCAGGCCTTGAGGGGCCATCCTGATAAACCTGGCGGACAGTTTCTTGGACAGAGATGGTGTACCTCAAGTAGGCGTATTTTCCAACTTGGAAGCAACAGTAAAACTTTTTTTTTTCTTTTAATTAGACAACTACTCATTTATCCAACTTGAACACAACTCGTTAATTTTGATCAGAAACAGTTCCTGGGGCTGGGAGGTATGTCTGGTTTGCATTCCCTCCCTGAGTTCTAGGACTCCTTCTGCTGATGGCAACGCGGTTCACCTCACCTGTCAATGTGTCTTGCCCTTCCACCCTTCCAACGATATGCTCCAATGTCCAGAGTAAAGCAGACTTGATAATAGTGTGACTTATAAGAAAGTCCTGGAATCCTAGGATATTAACTTCAGAATTTCCAATGGAAAATTATTTCCAAATGTTTTTCACAATCAATATATATTTAGCATTACAGATGACATACCCACAGGCTGCCTGGGCCCCTTTGTTGTATGTGTCTCCCTTGGGTTCTCCTGTGAAATACGGAAGATGTAGGCCTGCTTGTCCAGAGACCTTGGGCCATGATATTGAGGTCCTGGCCTCTTCTAGCATTAAACAGGCGGTGGTACATGGAGGACCAGGGGTTGTGGGCCGCTCCTGTGCAGGCAATGGAGGTGAACTGTCCGAGGAGAATATAAGAACAAGAATCAGCCTTACTGAAAGCAGGTCTGGCTGTTACTGTCATCACGCACCTGCCATTCTAAACAATGTCAGTAAATAAGAGAGTCACCCATACAAACAGATTCTCCGGCTCCCTCTCCGCCCCACAGGGCTGCTGAGAAAAGGCAGGTTTCTTCCTGACGGTGCCTGTCAGCTCAAAGCTGCTGTATTTTTCTACTCTGGCTTAAATGTAAAAAACAAAACAAAGCCATGAAAGTTCTCTCATCCTGTCTTTTAATAATCTCTCCCACTTCTGATCTCCTATATCTCCTTGTGAAGTTCCCACACACTGTCCTCGCGAGCATGGAGGATTTTGCGGCAATCAGCACCGTCCATGAATCCTGAGCATTTCTAGGCTGATCTGGGCTTTCCTCAGAGCCTGGGACACATTCTTTCTTTCTGTCTTTCCCGGTGTCTGGGGTCAATAGATCATAAATCAGCCAAAAGTAACACAAATCCTTCATATTAATAAAATGCTGTAAAATCAAAACATTCAAGAAAGAAGGGTCCCTATTTAAGAAGCAGTGGAGTTCAGGACAGTGAGAGGTGAACATCTGCAAGAACATCACCAAAGCTGGTGTGAGTCAGGGAGGCCCAGGCGAGACTTTGAAGGTGATTCTGATTGAACTGCATTCGATATTTTTAGGCCAGTTAAGATCAATGACTGAGTTAACAGTAAAGCCACTGTGTGAAGAGAAGCGGGGTTGCTATCATTTGCACATCCTGGAGAGGGATATAAATAGGGTCTGTGATCAGAAGTGGGTATTTTGAGGCCAGGAAACCTACCATTTACTAAATGGATGACATTGCTTAAGTTTCCTTTTAAGACTTGGTTAAACTGGCATACAAATAGCATAGTAAGAGCCCACTATGGTGTGGCCATTAGGTTTAATGAGATGATGGAGGTAAAATGCTTGCCTCACTTCTTGGTGCACTGAAAACTCCCAATGTTTCTTAGCTGTTTTGTTCCATATAGAGCTTCACTGGGTGACAGGAAAATCCTCCTCGGCGCCGACGAGCTCCCAGCTGCGTCGGCAGCAGGTTCCCGGGCCTGAGCGGCGTCGTTCTGGCTTCCCAGGTCTCTGTGCTTGATCATGCATCAGTCCCGATTTTCCAGCCCAGCTCTGGTTTTCAGAAGGTGTCCCACACCTTCTCACCGGGGTATAAATAATAACAGTATGATGATAGTGCTAACATGGTGGTGAGTTTTCACCAGAGAAAGAAAGAAACGCAAGATCTGTGTGGACTGAAATAAGACAAGTTTCCATGGAGGGGAGCAAAGTGAAGACAGTCTCCCAGGATAGAGGGACCAAAGAGGCTGAGGCAGGAAGATGACCCCACTCAGCACTGGGGAAGAGCATGAGCAGAGGAGTGGAGAGAGGGAAGGAAAATGCACAGGAAACAAGGAGAGCCAGTGTTGGCGGTGTGGGGAGAGGCGTCATGAGCAAACCGGGCTGGGTGGGTAGGCAGGGCTGGCCACACAGAACTTCTGATGCTGGACGGAGCTCCGCTGACCTAAAGCGGGAAGATGGTGGGATTTAAGGTGCAGGGTGGGAGCTGGGGATGGGCTTAGAGCTGGGAGTTCTAGTTAGAGTTTGAAACTGCAGCTGTGGGTGGGGATAGCTTTGGGGGCCACTCAAGTACATAAGTGAAGATGATTCTGTGTATGGATGCATAAATTTCAGAGCATCCAGACCCTTTGAAGTTAATGGATTTCTGGCTAAGAGCTTTTCTCTCTCTCTCTGGATATATGTGATGTATGTATATATATACAAATACAATATATACACATGCATATAGTCAAAATAGGGACTGGTTCTTTTATAGGAGATGTTTTCTGATATTTTTGCTAAACTAAGTAATAGAAATATTAACTAACATTGATTCAACCCAAATAACATATGTGTTATCTAATTTAATTTAAATCTAATAGAAACGGGAGAAATTTCAGATAAGGTGGAAAGGGGCCTGGAGTCAACAAAACTAGCTAGCAGTCTGTTGTCAAAATCTGAATTTGAATTGGTGGAGCTGTGGAGCGCAGCAAATCAAGTGGTAATGGAAAGGAAGGAGGGAAATCTATTAGGAGAAGTGACCTCACTCTGAAAGAAACCAGGCAGAAGAGATTTAAGGGAGGAAATGTTGGAAGCTGTTTGAAAATTTAAGAACTTGGGAGGCTGCAGGAATAAGAGAGGCCCTATAATGTGTGTAAACTGTAGTGTGCCTATCAATGAATGGTAATATTTGTTATTTCACCTACCAATCAGTTCTTCAAAAACAATGCTTGACACCCTTCTGCATCCCAGCCCCTGCTTGGTGGTCTGCTTGTAAAGACAGCCTCCAGCCCTCCTCTGACGTCATCACCTTCCTCACAGTCTTCTTGTCTCCAAGAAGACGAGGGGGACACAGCTCTACACTGGCTGGCGTCAGTGATGTCATACTCCCAAGACTGTCTCCTTTCCAATCAGGACGTGGTTACCCCAGCAACCAACTTTCCTGATTTTTTTTTTTACTTTCTCTCCCAATAAGTACAAGTTAGTTTACATTGACTGACTGAAGAAAACCCATTCACTGTACTTTGTATTTTACAATTTGGCTTCTCTCAAAGTATCCCAGTGTTTCTCTTTCTTAAATGGGTCAGGATCTTTTATGTTTTTTCAGAATATTTTAAGGCAGTTTCAACAAAGAAGTGATGTCCTCATGAAAGCAAAACATTTCACACTCTCAGTATTTGAGGCTGAGCTTGAAATAGGTAGTCTGGTGAAATCAGGAAATATTAACAATGTCCTCCTGAACTTTGAGGCCAAAGTGAGACAATGAACTCATGTCTTATTTTTCTCGAATCGTCCATTCTGCCTTCTTGCCATTCCTCAGCCAGCATTCAGCAAAGGGGAATCTTAAATGATTCAATATGGCTAGATTCATACTGGGGGGTGACTAAATCTAGATACCCACATACACACCGTATTTATTATAATTTGTTAAAAGGTTTATGAATACTTAGATGTTTTAGAGATTTGGGAATTCCTGAAGTTTGAGAGATTAGGTTAGAGTTCCTAATCTAATGAAAATAGGGTGGTTAGGGTGGACCTCATCAAGAAATGAAGAGGGTGATTTGAATGGAGAACCGAAGGAAATGAGAGGTGAATCATGGGAATATGAGAGGGGAGGAAATTTCAGTCGAAGGATCTCCAGAGGAAGGTCCCAAGAAAGAAATGTGTCTGAGTCTGTGAAAAAACAAGGAGGCTGGCAGGGGGTTAATGCTGGGAAGTAATGAGGTCCGAGAGACATTAGGGCGAAGGTGGGAGTTGGAGAGGAGGTTGGTGTAGGTCACTGTGAGAAACTGTAAGGATGATGGTTTTTCTGAGGGAAAATTTCTGCTAAATGCTGCTGCATACAAGCCACCAACATTACCCACACCTTTAGATTTGCTTACAGCAGGTAGATGCTATTTTTCATGAAGAGCTGGACAATAAATGCTCTAGGCTTGTGGTCCACGTGAGATCTGTTGTGACTGTTCAACTTTGCTATTGTAGGGCAAATGTAGCCACAGGCAATATGTATAAAACGGGTGTGGCTGTATTCAAATAAAACTTTATTTACAAAAAACATACAAGCTGACCACAGGCTACAGTTGGCCAACCTGTAATCTAGAGTGTCAGTCTTATTTATTTAAATTTATTCCAGGAAAATTATGCTGAGGGAAAGAAACTAGCATTGACTGACTGTCTATTATATGCCAGCATGTGTTCTAAGCATTATCTATATACATAGTTATCTATTTCCATCCCTATTATTAGCTACTTGTCCCAGACAGCTTTGTCTCTCAGGAAAATGACTTTGGTGACCTGTTCCCTGATTCTGCTTTGCTTCTGCGCCTTCTCAAGTCAGTCTGCTAGAGTGATGTCTCAAAATATAATCATGCCAAATATTTGTAGAAGTATAGGAATATAGAATTATTTAGAACACTAATTCTATATAAGCTCTTCTGAAAGGTAGAGTAAATAGGGGTTGGCTCCCAATCCATATTATAAGGTCAGCATTACTCTGACATCAAAAAACAATGACCACAA